TAAATCAATGAAATATCATAGAAGGGTATCGAAATTAACATTAGCATATTCAAATGTATTTATTTCCTCGCTTCGCTCGGTGCTTAATGTACTATTTATAAAGCTTTGGACTGTTTCTTTTTTTCACTTTTTCTCATGTAAGTGCAAAACTTTGTTTGACCTACAATGAGGCTAGATATTTCTTTTTCATTTCTGTCAGATAACCCTTATTAATCATCATTTCAACTTTAAAAATTCGTCTTTAAAAATTGTTTGAGGATACACTGCATATACTGCAAAACCAAATATTTTAGGACGGTTTTTCATAGCCAAACTCCAAGTAAGTCGTTTCATCCTGGATTCATCTCGCCCTAGTCTCCCATTATTTTTGCCGACTTCAAAAGGAGAAAGTAATATATTCTACCAAATTGCTTTTTTTATCAATGTCTACTCATATCTCGGGATTGGCTGAATCGATTTGATTTGGGGAGGTTTTAATCGAAAGGGTACACTGATAAAAATGGTATAATGAAATTTACTATGTTATAATACAATTTACTATAAAACATAGTAAAACTAGGGCATCCTTGAAGCATAGCAAAAATTGTTATGTTCCATAGTAAGAACTGTTATGTTTCTAGCAAAAATTGCTATGTTTATAGCAAAAATTACTATACAGGGTGTCCAAAAAGTAACGATACACCTGAGAAATTTTCTAAGCCGATTATTTTGTTAACCGGGTGAAGGTTGTTCTTGAAGTAACTTTTTACGAGGAATCCGATGGTAACCTTGGATTTGACCTTGAACCTAATTTTCAAGGTTATTTTGAGGTCAACCTCATTTTTTTAAATGGAAACCCCTATTTTTTATGGCGGAATCGGAAAGAGCGGAAAATTTTACGTCCAGATATGTTTTGAGGTATGAGGTTGAGGTAACCCCTAGAGGTCAACTGGAGGTCAAAGTATGAATTCTTAAAAATCTCGCGAATTCAGTGGTACAACAAAACAAACAAAAGGATAACCCCAGGTAACTTTCAACGGTGCTCTTTAATTTGTCCTTGAACCTCATTTTCAAGGTTATATTGAGGTCAACCTCATTTTTTTTAATGGGTACCCCTATTTTTTATGGCGGAATCGAAAAAAGTGAAGACTCTCACGTATGGATGAGTTGAGGTTTGAGGTTAATGTGACCTCTAGGGGTCAGATGAAGGTCAAACTGTGGCTTTGTAATAGTACCGGGATACTTTTAGCGTTACCCAGGAACAACGACGTGGACGTAGTAAAATCTATCCCCTTGGGGTGCTTTATTTTCGTGAGTTCCCCTCGCCTCTCACGATCGGGGTGCTTGATTTTCGTGAGTTCCCCTGGCCTCTCACGTATGATTTATCTTACATCAGCACATCTTGTTTTAAGTGCTCGAATTGTTCACCGTTCACTTCTTGATAGTAAGCTAATCGGTGGTAAAAAGCATCAACAGCATTTTGGATCATTTCAGTGGGAATGAGAGTTGATTCGTCTATGATCCTTTGACGTAATTCGTCCAAGTTTTGGGGTTTAGTTTTGTATACCCGATCCTTTAGATAACCCCAATAGAAATAATCTAAAGGCGTCAAATCGGGGGACCTAGCTGGCCATTCAATTGTGCCTCTCCTTCCTATCCACCGATTATCAAACACCTCATCTAAGTAAATTCGAACGTCTCGTCCATAGTGAGCTGCAGCACCATCCTGCTGATACCATGTATTTTCGAAGTTGTCTCCGACTATTTCTCTAATTGCTGGAACTATTTGATTACGAAGCATCTCTTCATAATTTTGAGCGTTTAAGTTACCATCAATAAAGAATGGCCCTATGATTCGATTCTTCACTATTCCAGCCCAAACATTCAACTTCTGCGGATATTGCGATTTATCTTCTCGCATCCAGTGTGGATTTTCCGCAGCCCAGTACCTGCAATTATGTCGATTTAATGTTCCGTCAAGTTGAAAAGTTGCTTCATCAGAGAAAACTATGTTTGATGGAAGATTTGGATTTTCAATTATGCGTGCCATCATATCTTCACAAAACTCAACACGACGATCGAAATCGTCTTCATTCAACTTGTGAACCAGGTGTACTTTAAACGGATGGAATTTTGTTGTTTTTAAAATGATATGTACGGACGATGTACTTATGTCATGCTCTTGTGCAACTCTGTGGATGGAATTATGTGGATTTTCAGTGAATGATAATAGAACATTTAATAAATTCTCTTCATTTGTTGCTGAGCGTGGTCTGTCTGACTTAGGTAGATTTTTGACATGGCCAAAATTTACAAACCTTGAAATAGTATTCTGAACAGTAGACACAGCAATTGGAGTTCTATTAACCCGAAATGTCCCATTAAAAAGATTTCTCACTGCCCTGTAAGATCTTTCTACTCCACCCCAGCCTCTCATCATAAGAAGTGATATTCTTTCTCGTTCAGTGAGGCGTTCCATTTTAAGTCAGCGAATCGAAATTTACTCAAAAATCAATGAGAATTAAAAACAAAAAGTTTGCAACCCAAATAAATGTTTTCAAAAAATGAAAATTATAATTTGAGTACTTTTACAAAAAAGTTCTACTACAGTCCGACTAATGCACTAATGCTTTATGGAGATTTTCGAATGGTAAAATCTTTTCAAATATGTTGCTTTTTTAAATATTAATTTTTGAAAATGCAATTGTCCCGAAGAATAAGCTCAAAACGATAAAGTTAGGCATAGTACATTTCCTAAGGATAGAACCAAGTGAAATTGTTAGTGGATTTTCAATGAATAGGTATGGGATAGTAACCTTAAAAAGTTTAACCGGCTAATCAAGTTATTAAGAAAATAAGCGTAAAAAATCATTGTTGATAGGCGAGGGGAACTCACGAAAATCAAGCACCCCGATCGTGAGAGGCGACGGGAAGTCACGAAAATAAAGCACCCCAAAGGGACAGATTTTACTACGTCCACGTCGTTGTTCCTGGGTAACGCTAAAAGTAAAAAAAATTGATCTTGAAAAAACCTTGATAATGAGGTTGAAGGTTAAATTCAAGGTCACGGATCTCCGATGGGCAATTACTAAATAAATACCCTTCTCCATTATGAAAAAAACTTTAAAAAATTTTAGGGCGTCTTTAAGTTTGGATGACCTTCGACTGACCTTAAACTTTAAGTTCGCCCTTGACTTATGATCTAAGTAGATATTTGGATGTGAAATTTTCCGCTCTTTCGATTGCCGCTGTCGAAAATGGGGGTTTCCATGACCTTTATTTGCTTCCTTGTACCACTAAAATCCCGGTACTATTACAAAGCCACAGTTCGACCTTCATCTAACCCCTAGAGGTCACATTAACCTCAAACCTCAACTCATCCATACGTGAGAGTCTTCACTTTTTTCGATTCCGCCATAAAAAATAGGGGTACCCATTAAAAAAAATGAGGTTGACCTCAATATAACCTTGAAAATGAGGTTCAAGGACAAATTAAAGAGCACCGTTGACAGTTACCTGGGGTTATCCTTTTGTTTGTTTTGTTGAACCACTGAATTCGCGAGATTTTTAAGAATTCATACTTTGACCTCCAGTTGACCTCTAGGGGTTACCTCAACCTCATACCTCAATACATATCTGGACGTAAAATTTTCCGCTCTTTCCGATTCCGCCATAAAAAATAGGGGTTTCCATTTAAAAAAATGAGGTTGACCTCAAAATAACCTTGAAAATTAGGTTCAAGGTCAAATCCAAGGTTACCATGGGATTCCTCGTAAAAAGTTACTTCAAGAACAACCTTCACCCGGTTAACAAAATAACCGGCTTAGAAAATTTCTCAGGTGTATCGTTACTTTGTGGACACCCTGTATATAAAATATAAAATACTACGTAACATAGCAATTTTCGGTATGAAACATAGTAATTTTCGCTATGCTTCAAGAATGCTTCAGTTTTACTATGTTTTATAATAAATTTTATTATATCATAGTAAATTTTATTATATCATTTTTCTCAGTGTATGGTTGTAAGACCTATTAGTTCTGATGAGATCTTCTTTTTTCATTAATGTTGTTAAGAAGAAGAATTCCTGTCGTTGCAGAATGAATTCTTTTTATACCAAGAGGATTTTCTACTTGACGCTGTTTTAAGAGGAATCCTCTCAATCACAAGGTTTTTTTTTAGTGTAGGATTTACTCCACTGCATCGAAAACCATCATTCTAAAGTCAATCATCTAACTTATTAAGGCTCAAATATTGAATGATTTTGTTTTTTGTTGACATAATTTTAGTTATTGGGCTTTTGTCGACGTACTATGAATAGGCGTAAAAGCAGGAAAACAAAACATGTTCCGTAGTATTAATACGTTATGTATTCAGATTGTTTTAGAGGCTGCTGAAGCAATCAAAATGATATGGCTATAAATAAATAATAAATGATATGGTAAATACGAAAATAAAAATAAACCGTGAAGAATTTTAATTAATTTTATTATCAATTTATTCAAGATTATTCTTACTACCTCCATTACTCTCAAATATGTACAATGCAGCGTAGAATAAAATCACCTTTGCATGTTTGTTATTATAAAAATAAAATTACACATTTTTTTTTCTTCTATAATTTCGACAATTGTAAAATTTATCATTATTCAACTTTAGTACGATAAATACGAACATTTATTTGAGATAAATAATATTTTAGTTTACTACTATTAAAACTCGCGCGTAACACATAAAAGGAAATTTTTTTTTACCGCATTAAACACAAATGGATAATAGAATTTAATTTAAATAGTTATCATAATATTTTCTAGAGCCACCACTCTACCATCTACATATAATGTATTAAATTTCAATAAAAAAGAAAATATTAATCGCATTAAAAATACTTCGTTGGAAACCGGACCTTAACATGCTCTCGGCTCGAAATCGCAAGCAGTGAAGGCAGCTACAGAGCTCGGGAGTATTTCGCGGCCGACCACTGGTTGTAAGTGTTTAAGCCAGTGTTGCCACTCGAAAAATTTTTCTCAGGGTCCCTAGAAATTATTGCATTATGTTAAATGGGATAATTTCTAAGGACTCTGAAAAAATATTTTCTAGCGGCAACGCCGGGTAAGCCGGTATTGCTGATTATAAGCGGGACGTCAGCAGGAAGACTGTTCTCCATTTGTTGATTAGATCTTTGTAAACATGAGTGTATCCTATAGGGATTTTTATTTTATTGCCTTTTCTCCATACTTCATTTTTTAAATATAGCGGTTATGTTCTTTAATGTTATTGTCATCGTCATTACGAATCACGAAGACGCTTTTATTTTTATCGCAATATTTAATGAAAAATGACCGAGACCTACTTTGGAAATCTTAGAAAAGTTGGAGCAAATGTGGACGAAGAAATAACTAAACTGCAAGATATATGGAATATGCCCCATGTCCTTCTCTGTAATAACAATGAGGAAACTCAAAATATTGCAAAACAAGTTGTAGAAAATTTAAAAACAGATCTTAAACAGCTCAAGGTAATGTTTTTTATTGAATGCTATTGCATATTTAAATATTCTATTTAACAATCGAGAGAAAAAGAGAGAAAATTGAAAGAATCTAGGTCATATAGCCAATGTAATTATTAATAATGGCAATATGATTTGATGTGTCAGGATGATATTGAGGAAAGCAGAAAATTTATTATTTCCCTTGAAGAAGCTTCTACACAAGAACTTGAAGAAAAAATTGAAGAAGTAACCACTTTGGAAAAAGAATTAGAAGAAATCAAAGTATTATTTGTTGAAAATGGATATGTTGAAGAAGCTATTGAAAGTGATTTTGTAGATTTAAATAATCGATTAAAATCTCTTTCTTCTAACAATAGTTCTTTGTTCATCAACGATGTTAGTGATTTGATAAATTCACCCTTACTTGAAAACAATTGTTTGAATGATTTTGAGATAAGAGAATCAATTAATTCAAAAACACCTATTAAAAATATTTCTTATGATAATATAAGGAAACCAATACCAATAAATGAACCACCAATGGAGCCAATATATTCTCCTTGTTATTATAAAATTATAAAGAAGTAGTTTAGATATTTTATATTTTCAATAATTGTACATACATACATTTTAATTTATAAACATAGCTAGAAAGTGTATATAAGCAAATAAATTCATTACAATACGATCATTGATCATTACTTTTAATTAATGCTATTATTTTATTGCTATTTTTTCAGAAGTATAATGATTGCTATTTAAAATGAAAGCAGTACATTTTGAATTGTGCTGAATGATCAATGATAACCAGTAAGTGTATCTCAAATATAAAATTAATAACAGTAAAGTGCCTGAAACTTAATTATTGTGAGAAGTTAATAGTGTAAGATACCTGTTTTTTGATAATGAAAGAAAATAAATCTACTAAAATAATTGGAAAAAATGTTATTTTCATTCCTTATAAAGAGAACCACGTTTTAAGGTTAATTATACACATTCAGTAATAAATAATAAAATAATACATGAAATTTGAATTAAATAGCTTTTGAATGTTCCATCAGGTACCATGAATGGATGAAATCTGAAGAACTGCAGCAACTTACTGCATCAGAACCATTAACATTAGAAGATGAATATAAAATGCAAAAAAGTTGGTTCGAGGACGAAGATAGTATTATATTTTTAATTTTAATATTTTTTGTAAGATTATTAAAAAATATATTTTTGCGTTATTTTGAAATTTTATATTTTTATTTACAGAATGTACTTTTATAATATTGAATAAATCTTTGTATGAGGAAACTTTAAATGAAATAGGTAAATAAATTTTACTATTATATGCATGTATTATAATTGATTGCATTGCATGAACAACAACTCACAATTTCCTTTATAGATGCTATGATTGGTGACATCAACTTATTTTTCAATGATGCAAATTGCAATAAAAATGCTGAAATAGAAATTATGATTGCAGAAACATGTCATAGAGGTAAAGGCTATGGCTGGGAATCAGCAATTCTTATGCTGAGATATGGTAATATATATATTCATTCATCACAAAATATCCTAAACAAATCATCTGATTTTAGCTTAATTTAAGAATTTTTTTCATTTTTCATAGGTATTGAAAACTTAAATGTGATCAAATATTTAGCAAAAATTTCTATATCTAATGAAAAAAGTATTAATATGTTTAGAAAATTAGGATTTGAAGAGGTATTCCATACTAATCATGTTTAAGATTGGTAACCATAAATCATTCAATGATATTAAAGTTTGATTGTAATTGTTTTAGGTATCAAGGAGTGATATTTTCAAGGAATTTACATTACAAAAAGTTGTTGATTTTGAATGGATTAAATGGCTCCAAAATCAGACTCCCAACATGATAAAAGATGAAAATTACAAATAGGATATTATAAATGTAATTTAATTTTTTTAATTTTGTAAAAAATCAGTTTCAGTTACAGGTCTTTCTAATAAACATAATTTTTTGAAACTTAAAAAAACAATAAAAATGAAATAATGTAATGCATTATTTTAAGGCAATCTTCTTTAATATGCTTACAAAGCCAAATTGATCACAGAACTTTGCTTGTAAATTAACAAATAACAAATAATTTTATTGGCTTCTGTAGGGATTCAAACCAGAAAATTGCCAACGTCTTTCCATGTTAGCGCCTATTCCTGACAGCTCCTGCTTGAATACATGAGGAAACCGTTGCATTAAGCTTTCAACGTCATTAAGTCTAAGGTTGGGTTCCATTTTTTGGAGGTAATAAAAAATGTAGTCTAAACTTGCACCGAATGGGTGAATGTGTAAAAATATTGCAATCAATCCTGAAAATAACAAAAAAATTTGACAGAATTTGTTTCAAACTATTGATGATATTATTTAGTCCAGGAAAAATAGCAAACTGAACAAAATGCTTAGTGATTTTGATTGACAGAACCTTGTAGCTGCTTTTAGGTATTTAAAGAATATGAAATTCTAAATAGAATTAATAATTTGTTCAGGCAGCCTAAAAAATTGAACGTTTTACTTGCTTTTTGCAAATAAAAAGATAATAACATTTAATTATTATACCAGGGCAGACTTACTGCCCATTAGATTATATATAATGTACATATATTTTGATAATATATCTAATGGTCTATAAATTATGCTATCAAATTATTAACACTATATATTTATAGAAAATGTAAAAAATATTGTAGTTTGTTAGATTGTAAAAAATTCTTAATTTTTCATTTACAAGATTCTGTTTCAAAAATGCACTAAGAATTTCATTCATAATGAAATACAAATTTGCTTGTACTAATTTTCTGTTATTTACCTATTAGCTTAGCATCTTTTTGATTTATTTGAGATAAACCAGATGGAGTTACACTTGGTTTTGAAGTAAGTTCATCATTCGTATCATCATCTTTGTCCAAAGTAATGACTTCATTTTCTTGAGGTTCTTCTTTTTTACTTAAATTCAATTTAACTGTTAAGTCTTTGATTCTCTGATCATCTTGAGCTTGTTGTTTTCTTGATTGCATCAACTGCTCCTGCATACCTTTCAATGTCTGTTGTAACATTTTCATCTGTTTTTCTTTAGCATCAATATCAACTTTGGTTTCCGATTTTAATAAATCAACCTGAAAATTAAAGAAAGTTTATGGAAAATGTGACAATTAAAATTGAGTTGTTTATCAAATAGTAAATAAAAAATACTTGAAAATATATAACAACATGCAAACTTTACTCACTTCATTTTTATAAGCTTCTAACTGGCAACGTAAACTGTCATTTTCTTCTTTGATAGCTTGCAGTCGTTCAGAATCTTCATTGGCTGTCGGTTGATTACGTAATTTTTTACGTTGAGGTTCATCTTCTGAATCAGATACCTCCATCTCACCTTCACCTTCCATAACAGTTTCTTCCAGCTGAATGGCCTTAATTTCCTGTTACATTATACATTATTAATTTTATTAAAATACAAGAAAAGCAGTTTTTATATGTTCATGCTTCCCATTTTATCGGAAAATATATTTTTAACTTAATGTGTTGATGTTCAATAAATTATTTAATACTATATGATAAAACTATGTTGTTCAAAAACTTGTAATAAGAATCAAAGTATGAATCCTATATTTAAGTCGAAAGTAAGTCAAATTTCATTAAAATTTAAAAATCAATTTCTTTCAATAATAACTAAATCTTACCTCGCTATGGACAGAATATCCAGATATTCAAGTAAAAAATGACTAAGAAAATACAAAAAGCCAAAGAAAAAGTTGAGGATCAATATAGTTCATGCAAAAATGAGAATATTACAATTTCTTGATGCTTGATCAATACCGTTTTACCACCTGGTCAACTCGAAAACATCACAATTTGGCTGAAAATTTTCTCATCATTACCTTTTTCTTGCTTATCGAGTTTATTGCCAATAAAAGATAACTTTCGCGATAAAATGAGCTTGTGTCTGACTATGCTTATTTTCCCAAAAAAAGCTTTTTCTTATTTCCGAGATCACAGCAGTACTTACCTTATAGTCTGGTATAGAATACGTTAACAAATGTAATATCCATTATGCCTAAGAGTTAAAAAGCGATAGTTTAATTTCCCGCAATTACTTAACAACGATTATGTTAAGAATTTGAAAATCGCCAAACGTTAGTAAATGCTGTATTACTAATAAATATGAAGCAAGGGACTAATCCATTCAACGCACGACGAATTTACTCATAGCAGAAAAAGCTAATTAAACCAATTGTGAAAAAAGGAAAACAAATTGAAATCGTATTTCAATTAAGCACGTGAGCTTCAAAATTTTAAGACCTTTTATCGCAATACCCAGAGGATTTGGTAAATTCAAAAAATGACAAAAAAAGAGGGACCAATGCCTTGACTGCATTGACATTAGAGAAGCAAATACATACCGAAGACTGTTTCTTCCACATTTCAATGTTTTTTCGTTGTGCCTTGGTGAAGTGATCCCAAACCTTCTTGTGGCTCGCCGCGGTAAATACTCGTTCAATCTGACTGACTGTTGTTGAACACAGGAATCGTAAGTTGCATACAAAAACACAACAAATCCCTGTTGTATACCCTATTTCATAGCTTCCTATAAATTAATTTCAATTTGCTCTTCCACCTTATTCACTCATTCTCTACCTCTTACACTCATTGTTTCTTCAGCAGCAACGTCATTTACAACCAAACCAGAAACTTTGTTGGTTTTTTTAAAGCCAGGCTTTTTGTTTTTTCTAAATACAAATTAGGTACTTTGTGACTCCAATTTCTAGCATTATTTCCAATAACACATTTTTTTCTAAATAACGCGACTATAATTTTAGAGAAAGACGATATATTTTTGTGGATTTCATTTTTAGCAGAAATGAAAAAAATCTATCATTGGAAATGATTTTCTTAGTTTATTAATATTTTCCCAAACACCACGTGAATGTCTTTCTTAACTTTAAAAGCATGCAATTGACTATACTTTTTGATGCTCTATTATTCTATCTGTACAAAGAGTACATCATTTTTGGGTGAAATAGTCCTGGACCTTGGAGACTGGAATCATAAAGTAAAAGTTAGCATTCTTCACCCACCTTGTTTCTCCAAAGCCTCAAGTCGTCAATTTCAATAGAGTATTTTAAGCTTTTAGAATGATAGGCAATAAAATGAATAGTGTCAGACTCGCTGAAATATCTTATATAGAAATATTATTCTTAACTATTCAATTTAATTTCTTTGAATTACAAAAATAATAAAAAACTGTTAAATTTGTTTAGAATACTTTTCAAAAGATATCTTAATGAGTCTTATGAAAAAACTTAGTTCATTTTGATTATTGATGAACTGAAACAAGGAACCACATGAAAAATGCCATTTCAAAATTTACAAATAATTTACGTAGCATATTAAAAGTATCGCAAAGTTCCATTACTTCCATCGATGAGCAACATTTGAAAATTTGTATGACCAGCTGCACTTACCAACAATAAGCAATAGTAATGTAGGTATGCTTTCAACGTTGAAACGAACTCAAGGATATGACTGAACTAATACCAGAGAGCAATTAAAAATATTATACTTACATTGTATGAGCAATCCTTGCATTCTTCCTTTCAATAGTTCTTTTGCTTTCTGAAGTTCTTCTTCATAAGTCGCTTTTTCAGTCAACAGTCGACGAACATGAGAATTGGTTGATTGAATCATTGAATAAAACGTGGTAGCATTCCGTTTAGTACAATCTCCTCGTTCTAGCCAAGTTACAACAACCTAATGTAAACGTTCTATAATTAAAGTTGATCAACATTTATGAAAATCGTTTAAATATAATTTATCTTGTTAATTACTTGCACAGCTTTCATAAAAGTATCATCCTGTTTGATTTTTTCACAAATATTTGACGCTTCATGATCAGTATAATGAATCACAGGTGGTGGACTTGATGGTGGTCTTTGTCTTTCTTTCTCCACCCGTTCTCTATGTCTCTGCTCTCTTTGAAGTTGTCGTTGTCTACATTCCCATTCATATTGATCATCTCTAGCCTTAAAGTTTTATTAAAATAAATTATAGCCACTAATAAAGTGATACATATTTAACTATTCTATGTACCTGAGCAAAATCGACGTGTAATCTACCAGTATTAACAGAGTCACCATTTGAACCAATTCTAACTCTATAGCCAGATAGATAAATTGCTGCATCAACACTAGCTTCTAAAACGAAACGAATGTGACAAAAATTTTTCTTTGAAAGCCTCAAAGTAGTTATTTCTCCACACCGCTCAAATATTTCTTGAATTACACCTTCTGTAATATTTTCAGGCAAACCTGCAGGTGGGAAAAATTTTTAAAATGTCACAGAAAAGTTGAAATTATTTAATTAAATTTACCTCCAACAAATATTGTTCTACAACCTGGAGGTCTTTCTCTTGTTGTAGGAGGTGGAGCATTGGGATTTGGAGGAAATAAAGTACAGCTTTTACAATGTATAATTTCTTTGGTGCCTTGTGATACAGAAGAAGGTAATGATCCACTTATTATTTGACTAGCTGCTTCATTTATAATCTGTTCTGGATTTAGTATGGGAGTCCCCATCATGGCACTTTCATGAGGAATCATGCTCATTCCCATAGGTCCATAACTATGAGCATGACTTATGTGAGGACCAAGTGGCATTTCACCCATTAAAGGTCCTACAGTCCCCATTGGTCCCATTCCCATCATTGGATATCCTATGAAATAAATATTTAATTAGTTAATAAAATTTGTCAATTGCTTCATCCACATATATTAAGTTGATTGTCCAAACCAATGCCAACGCTCCAGACTCCTGACGATGGATCCAGAGCTGGTCCCAGTCCTGGAGCATTAGTTGATGAGTTTGATGTGGAAGTCACAGTGTTATTACTATGACTATTATTTGTGGCAGTTATCACATTTTCTCTGTCATCATTTCGTCTGTCATCTCTTCTGTCTCTATCATTTCTGTCATCTCTACGATCTCTATCTCGATCACGTCTGTCACGATCTCCTCTAGGTCTAGATATTCAGAAAATTGTTATAATAAAAAAATTGATACTTTAATTTAATTTTTTACCTTTAATTTATTAAAATTCAATACTTTTATAACAAGTTATTATTAGCACTTTTTCATGGTAAAATATTTTCTACAATATGACTATGATAAGTAATACCTCCTATTATTATCCCGTATGTCTCTTGTATCCCTGTCTCTTCGACCATCACTTTTGTCACTTCTTCTATCATTATCATCAGAAGCTTCTCTTATAACAGGTTGATTTTTGTTGGTACTGAACTCCAAAGGAGAATCGTTCATTCCAGGTATTGATATGGGGGGTGGCATAGGTGGAAATCCTTGACTGGCTAGTTCTATAAAATTTTGTGCTCCAGGTAGAGTAGTTAAAGGTCCTATTGGCCCCATACCTTTAAAAAATGTGCAAACATTAGTAAGAGCAATTTCAAATACATGATAAAATCAAAGAATATATGCTAGATTAAACATATTGTGCCTAATTCAATTTAATATAGAATATTGCTTATCACCATGTGAAAAAAATAATTTTAAAAGTTGCTATAAAAGTTATATTTCATGGTATATTTCTTAAAAAATGTAAATATAAACAAAGGACAATATAAAAATAAAGTACTTATAAATTAGTTACTAGAAAAATTACTAAACGACATTATTTGACTTTTTTTTGCATAATGAAAATAATGCATAATTAAAATACATACAATAAAAAAACTTGATAATTCATTATTGTCAACAGTATGTTGCACAAGAAAAAAATAAAACAAAAGAAAAAAAATACAAGTGTTACAATAATATAATATTAAAGAGAAAACAGGAGTTTAACAATAATAACAGGTTATAAAATCAATAACGAGGGGTAGTTCTTACCCATGGCAGACATAGCGGGAGCTGGCATTCCAGGGAAGTTGAAAGCCATTTTTTTGTGTAAGATGTGTGCGCAAGGGTCTCCTGGATGACAAAACCAGTAGCAGGCGCACTAGCAGCAGTTCTGGATCGAGCAAATAATGCTCTAAATGTATAAATTCATCGAGGAGGTAATTCGAGTAAGAATACGCTGGCGCATAAGCTACAGCGATTACAATTAGTGGCGCGCCTACTCGCGGCACCCACGCACTGTTTAACTCGTCGAGTAGATCTAAGTAACGTACGGCTATAACTACATTCTGCAGCGCAGATCACACTGACTAGAAAAGCCAAACGAGACAACGACTAACGAGACGCCAGACACACTCTTTCCGTGCATATCTCATTCGTTCATTGTGGCAGTTCGCAGCAGTGAGCCTGCGCAATGCCTATAAGTACTCTGCAGTTTGCAGTCACTATATCTAGTGCGCACTGTGTTGCATTTCAGCTTTCCAAAGGCTCCTATTCGTGGTCGCTTGCAGACTTAAACGATCGACGCCAAAAGTCCGATATCACGCAAATAGTGTTTATCTATCTTTGATATCGCCATCAATATTTACTTTTTTTTAACGCACGTTGGATTTTTATGTTTTAAAACCTCTATCTTATGTCATCACTCATTCCGAATTGAAAGAAATTGCTTTTCTGAGCAGTATAGATTATATGTATAAAGTTTTCAGTGGCATTAAAAGATACAGTTATTAGACTTATAATATTTGAAAGTACGGCAGATATCCGTCGAAACTAATAAACCTCGTATATTTATAATCAAGAGACACGAATAATAGTCATCAACAGCCGAGAGATTATGTTTAGAATAGCCTACAGATTGGCTGATTCTTGGAATGAGTCTCAGGAATGAATTCCGTTAAATGATAAATCGATAATAGCTGGCATCGTGCAACTCGCAAGTAAATTCAGTAATACATATAATAATACATCTTCAAGGTAGCACCTTTATCTATTCCACAGAACTTTCAATGTCGATGTGTACACACGTTTATATTATAATTAGCATAATAAAGAAATATAGCGTTGACGTATGACAAGTTATTGCCCTAGCAAACATTACTCACATAACATTTCGGGTATATTTCCAACGTCGTATTTCGTATTAGATTGTTTTTTTAGCGCTTTGACCGAGATCTTAAAATTCCAATATTCTTTTGTGCAATCAAATCAATGCCTTGTGAAAATCGTTCTTACTGTGTCGTTTATTTTAACAATCCATTGTCATTCTCAAAAGGTGCCCTGGAGTGTGACGATAAGGCAATTATCATTAAGTGCTGATCGTAGCTGAGAAATGAAATGAAAGCGAATAATTGGTTGGATATTGAAGATAATTATTTCGAAAGTCTTAGCTTTCATTTCGTTTAAAGCTGCAACTCAAATAATAATACTTCAAAAAAGAGAGACTTATTTATTAGTGCCAAACCTGAAAATTCCAAAATATGCGAAGACTGGTATTATACTTTGATTTTAGAAGGTTCGTAACGATTGCGAAAGATATTAGAAGTTCCCCAAGCATCTCATCTACAGTAAATCAAATGTATACGACGGATAAGCTAAAATTCTACAATGGCTAAGAGTAAACAGTTTAATATTCACTTGAAATAATGCTTAAATATTAGGCATATTCGGATCGCATTGTTGTCATCTATTCTAATAGATGTAATAATGCAAGTTTTACGGGTAAGCTTATAGCAATGGTCGAGTCTCAAATGCGCGCGGGTACTTGCGAAAATTGAAATGTCTAATAAGGTCAATAAATAGCTGTGTTCTTTATTAATAAAAACCGAAGGGACGCACGGCAAAACCTTAAAATACTATGTGTTTAAATTTAAACGTTTTAAGTGTGTAATTGTGACGTCACCCATAAGAAATACATTGTCTCTGAATTTAAACGTTTAGAAGTGTTTAAAATTGAGGACAATGTATTTCTTATGGGTGACGTCATATTAAACGTTTAAATTTAAACACATGGGTTTATCGTGCGACAGAATTCCTGATCGAGAGTTGTCCTTAAAAAACAAAATCTTATTCTACAAAGTAAACCGCTGTTCCATAATAGGTTCTCATGCAACATATTTACATATGTTATTTTGAAAAGTTTAGATCCTGTATTTTAATAGGTTAAATTTACCATGAAAGCAAGAATTCGTTTACTTCGTATTACCTAATTTCTCATGATTTAGAGAGATTAAAGTTAAATCTTTTAAGTGATTAAAAACATTCAATATAAAAATTCAAAATAAGTAAATACAAGATTTTAATAATCAAATTTGAAAAAAATTGAAGTATGATTTATGTCAGCTAAATGCTTCAATTCAGTAATGAAATTTACTTAGATCATGAAACGAATTTTATAAATTCAATTACTGAAGGTAATTTAAAACTAGTTATGTGTAGAAGGAACATGTCAATATTTTAATAAGTATTACTGAAAACTATCGCTATCTAGTATCCATATACTATAGTTATCTAGTATCCAAAAAAGGTTTATGCAGAAGGTAAACAGACACAATTCTATAGCTAACTTGCTTAATATTAAACCATAATTAATTAAAGTTATAAATGAAAACTTGAATTCGCTAACGAGGCTGACAAGTGCCAACACTAAAACTTCGCGGTCTCAGCGCTAGTTACCGCGACGTCCCTTTAGCACTTATGCTGGGATTAGCTAGCATGATATCGCCAAAGTACTGAGAAAGGTAGTAAAGGACATAGCCTGGAGACATCTACGATGGGGCAATGGAAAGTTTACGGGTACTCCTCTAAATAATAGGAATAAATTTAGGATTAGTCAAAAGTTTATTCGTTAATATCTAGGGTATCCTACGCGTGGAAAGGAAAGAGTAGATCTTATGCCTTGAAATTTGAATTAGAAATAAATTTTGAAATTTCCAATGATAATTTATTACAAAAAATTATTAATTATTTATTTATTTATAACTTTTATTCGTAGTTGGCTACCAATAGGATAAATTCTTGCTTTAGTTCGGTTAAACTGTCTTTTACGAATATGCAAAGTTAAATCGCCTGATTAATTAATATTAACAATATTTTATTAACCACTGAACATTCACAATATTAATTTTCGCCAATTTTTAACTACTGAATTCGATTAAAACTTACATATTAAATTTCTACGCATGTATAAGTATAAAAAAATGTTTTTAGTTCATTACAAAAGTATTTATTTAATGTTTTTGCAAAATTCTTGAAATTCATTGAGAAAATTCGGAATACAGTGACGTCACGTTCTTCATATGGTCAAAATTCTGAGAACACGATCCCATACATTTACATATTATATATAGGCAAGGTGATGCCGCTAGATTGATGCCATATCAATCAAAATTTTGGATGCTTGCTGGGTTACAGTTGCGCAGGGATAAAAGTAAAGAAAAAATCAGACTAAACTGCTACAAAGGAAATGCGTTCGATCCGTCTTACATTTTAGCGCACGTACACTCTTCTTTTTCTTTTATTTAAATGACTTTATCTGCTATTACATTACAGCTTAATTAAGCCATAACAATAATCTTGGATGGTGGCAAAAATGAATAACTTGATGGAATAAAACTTTTCTTCCACCCATTTTCCTCACCAAAATACTCTTGGAAGGGAAGAATGGAAAGGAAAATTGAAAAGCTAAAAGGGAAAAATAGAGAAATGGATAGTATAAGAATAAGGAAGAATAAATTTATAAGGAAATAGGATAGCCTAAAATATAAAATTATTAAACATTATAACGAATCGTTTGTATATTCGTTATGTCTCTCTCTCTCCAAGAAGCCAGCAACTAATATATTTAATATTCATTATAAATTACCATATTGCTTGAATAATTACAGCATCACGGACGTCAGCGAACTGGTAAGCGACGCGACTCGCGTACGATAATCGATATCGACTCGCGGCGCGGACCTCGTGGGGAGACGCTTCCTTGCGAGGAGAGAGAGAGAGTTTCAAAAAATTGACACAGTCCGTTTTCGACAATTGACGGGCTAACGTTTCTCGCGCGAGTCGAAGCCTGCTGCGGTCACCCAGCCTCACACGTGCCTGTGTACGCTGTCACGCCAGAAAAAAGTGCCATTAGGAGTCAGCCAGACGAAAACAAAGCGAGCGTGCGGTAGAAGCGAGCCCGCTGTCGCGTGCCCTTGATTTGCGGGTTAGGACGGAAGTGCGAGCGGCTTTACTGTAAGTACTAGATCAAGTACCTGGCCTCTCTCTACACCGCTCTCTCCTTTTTCACGCTAACTGAACCACGCATTTACGCCCGCCTTTTCTTTGGTGCTCGTTACGTCGTGGCCACGGTTGGTACCGGCAATCTCTCTCTCCGCGAACGTGCAGTCACTTTTATACATTTGTCATATCCGAGACGAATAAGTGCGGTTTGCCGTTCGCGAACGTCCAGCTCCTGACAGGCGAATCCGCTGTTACATGGTTCGACGAGGTTAAGCGCTGTCGCTCCCTCGTTCGAACGGTGCGCGCCAGTTCGCTATCGCCATCGTGCACAGCTCACAACAGAGCGAGTGCTTGCGCGACCTTGACCGCGTAGCGCGTGCGCAGTTCCGTTCGCTTCACTGTCAAGCTATTGCGAGTCTGTTTGCGTTACGATTAACTTTGTTCATATCGATCGTTTTGATAATATGTATTCCTTTGTTGCTAATTAAAATTTACACGCATCCACGTTTAATCATATTTGAGTGCTTATTGTTTGCCGACTCCCCGTTCCTTGCATTGCGATTGTGTATGCGACTGTACACGCCCGAATCTCTCTCTTTGGCCGTCGCGCATCTTCACACGTAGCCTACGACACTCTCCGCGGGCCAAGCTTTCTGACTGAAAAGGAGGCAACTGAGCTGCTGGACCCAGGACGTTCGGTGCAGGAGTGCCGATCTGCTCTGGAGAGCTATCCATCTACTTTTCCGCGGTTACTTTTATATAGCGTGTCCCGCTCAAGCGAAGCTGAGCAGGAACCCCGTTATATTCTGGCGCCCAACGTGTTCATCAATTTTCGTGTGACTTTGCTGCGATATCCTTCGCGGAAAATTTAGAGAAACGTACGTGTGGTAACGTAAACACAACAAATCGACCAAGCTAGTAACAAAAGCTGCTTGCGATATCAATAGTGTTGAGGAATTCAGAGTGTTTACGTCGTACAGACACACTCGGCGAGAAAAGCGTTCGAAACGAAAACCGCTACCCAAGCGTATGTTTATATTAATGCGTATTGTCCGAACATTCTCAATTTAAGCGTTTGCACTATATATTACGTATATAGTTACCGCAAATATAAGCGATTATTTTGAATTTTACTGTGTATGCATGTCAATCCTGATTTATATTATATATCGCCATAATTCATAGCGACTATAACATAATCCATAATTATTTAGAACGCGCATATAAATCAAATAAATTCTAAATCAAATAATATAAAATTATCTAAAAAGAAATACAAGAACCAAATCAAGAGTCATAACAAGAAATAATAATTAATAATAAATAAATAAAGTATAAATAATTAACAAATTAAACTAAATTAAAGATGAATAACATTAGCGATTTAACAATATTTAAAGATGAAATCGATAGCAAAATTAAAGATTGGATAAAATCTTTAC